AGTCTGTGTCGTCAGTGGGTTGTCAACGGTTTGACCCCCCCTCTGACCTTGCCTGCAGTTGACCGTGGGTCTTGAGCCTGCGCACAGGCTGTGTTTGCGTTTTCCGTGCTGCCTTTTGATCTGTCCTGTCATAGTCTGCCGTGTCAGATCTAGTGTCAGTGCAGAGCAGTCAGTCCAATAGTGGTCTGTCATTCGTGTCAGAACGGTCCGCGCAGTAATGTTGTGTCGCCAGTCTAATCAAGTCCACACAGTCTACCTGCTGGTTTGCAGCCTGCAAACTACAGGTTTTATTTTTATTTCTGCGAAACGAACGGCGTCCCGCCGCAATTATTTTTTTTTTCTGCGTATGGACTCGGGTGTTCTTACCTTGCTAATCGTGTTGGTGTTCGTGGGAAGATCCGATAGGGATCTGGTCTGAAAGTATTGTTTTTTTTCTGATCGGTTGGGCGTGCGGTAAAAGCGAACAAATGTTGTTTTGCTGTTGACCGCTGTCTGCAACCTCCCTGAATGCCTACAGACACGAAGTACTAATCTGCTATCTGTCCTAACCCTTCCCTCTAACTRAGTAAACAGTACAGCCTGATTCTGATTAGATTGTTGTTCTGTGTGTGAACTCTAATCCGAATTTTATTTTTTTTTATTTGAAAAAAAAAATAATTATTAACTGGGTATGGCTGACGGCGCAGCCTCTGGCGGTTCTGGGAATGACAAAGGCAAGGATCCTGTGGTACCCAAAACCGCCATTGAGTTGGAGATTTAGAAGGCGGAGGCGGCTGCAGAGGAAAGCCGCAAGAGGATTGAGAAGCTGAGGAGAGAGAAGGATGAAGGAGACCGAAAGGCTCAGAATGAGGCCAGACGGGTAGTGCTGGCAGAACATTTCTTGGCCGCTGAATCTGATGAAAGATTCAGTGACACTAACAGGAAGTTGGCTGAGTGGATCCGTTTGGGGTTCACTTCAATCAAAGATGCCCTCACTGCCTGGATGGACCGGGCTGCTGCAATAGAAGACCGTTTGACTACAATTGAAGCCAAACAGTCTTCTATTGTAGAGTCCCTGGATCGAATCAGGCAAGATCTCATTACCTCTCCCCACTCAGCTACCTCTACTCCTCGTCAGTCAGTCAAACCYGAACCTAAATCGGTCCCTACTCCCCCTGCAACACCACCCCCTTCTCCCAAAGGAAAGCTTGCTTCGCCTAATAAGCAACAGGCTGTCCCTGAGGATCTCAGACTGGGTGCTGGCAGCTCAGGCCAGCAGGAACAACGTTTCCCCAAGATGATGCAACCTGACAAATTCACTGGTGATGACGCCAAAGTGGATGTGTCAGATTGGATCGCTTCAATGAAGTCCTATCTGAGGGGATTCATCTGCCCAGAGGTTGGAGTCCACTGTGGCCCTGTTCAGTGGGTCAGCATTGAAGTGGTTGGATTAGAGACCATCTGGATTAGAGACCATCTTCCAGTCTCAGCAGCAGTTATCAGATTGGGCTGTTGCGGCTGGATTAGAGACCATCTGGATTAGAGACCATCTTCCAGGGTCTGGAGGCGAGGTTTGCAGACAAAGAGAAGGCCCGCAAAGCTGCAGACGAGCTGGTTAGTCTTGGCCAGACAAAGTACAGGGGTTCCCTGGCCAAGCTCTATGCAGAATTTGAGCGCCTCACCTCTACTCCCGGTTTGGAGATGTCTGACAGGGACCAACTGACTTGGTTCATCAGGGCAGCTCCTAAGAAATATACCACGGCCCTGTACTTTGCAGGACACAAGGATTGGCGATCTTTTGGCCGAGCAGCCTTGGACATGGAGGCAACACTCCACGTTCAGTCCACTCCCCAGAAGGGAGGCAACCCCTCTTCCCAGAGTAGGAGGAAGGGAAAGGGGAACTTGTAYGCCATGGAGTCTGATGATGACTCTGCAGGCACTAGCCAGGGGGGATCTACTCCCCCAGCTGGCCAGGGTGCAGGAGCATCAGCAGACCAGGCTGCTCAATTGCTGGCCCAGGCACTGCTAGCCCTCACTGGAGGCAAGCAGTTTCAGGGACAAAAGCCCCCCTCTCCTAAGGGGTCAGGCGAACGCCCCAATGGTCCCCAACAACAGAACCTCCCAAAGTTTGCCAAGTGCCCAGCCAGCCCCATGGACGCTTCCTCTTTTCCTTGGAGGGACCTGAAAATCCCAGAGGGCGTATGGCAAAAGAGGAAGGACAGGGGGGTCTGTCTGAGGTGTGAGGGCAATCACTATGTCAAGGATTGCCCTAGACTGAACCACAGCAACTGCAACCACTCAAAAAACTGAGCAGGCCAGCAGAGGCTGCAGCCAGCCCTGCTGAACTGGATCCATCTCCTTTAGGAGATGAATCAGTTGTGGAGCCTGATTTTTCTGAGGCTGCAAGGGACTCAGTATACTCTTATATTGAGCCCTTTGTGGATGAGCCCTCATCTGAGGAGGAGCTTGATCAGCTTTGTTCCCTTCATCGCCAATTAAAGGAGAAGAGGAAGAAGAGATCAGAACTGATCATGCTCAAGCCTCAAATTAACAGAACCAGGATCAAAGCCTTGCTTGACTGTGGGGCCACAAGGAACTTCATCTCGCAGAATGGAGTTCAGAGACTCCACTTGGGTCTCAAGGTTACTTACCTTGAGCACCCTTTGGAGATACAGGTAGGGAATTCCCAATTTGTCTCAGTCAAGCAAGTCATCAAAGGAGTGCCAGTCATCTTTGATGACAAAGGGGAAATCAAACATTCCCTGAATTTCTATGTTTTTCCCCATCTTCCCTTTGATCTGGTCCTAAGTCTGAAGTGGTTAAGGGCTACTAACCCTTCAATTGACTGGGCCCTGCCTAATATTCAATTGAAGAATTCCCAGGGTGAGCTAAGACAATGTGTCTTATTTACTGATCATCATCCTAAGACAAGCTGTTACTGTCTGAAAGCCAGAGAGTTTTACAACTTGTCTAAGGAAACTGACCATGAGAATCTGTTTGTGGCTTATGTCACTCAAACAGATTCAGATTCCTCCCCTTCTCAGATTGATCTTTCCATTCAACGGGTGGTTGATGAGTTTTCTGATTTGGCTCAGGAGCCTACTGGACTAGAACATAGGCAGACCAAGCATCATATTCAGATTCTGCCTAACTCTACCCCTCCTAAGGGAAGAGTCTATAGGATGTCACCTGCTGAACTGGATGAGTTGAGGAAACAACTAGAGTCCTTGACAGAGAAGGGATGGATCAGGCCCAACTCATCTGAGTATGGGGCACCAGTTCTCTTTGTTCCAAAGGGAAATGGTGAACTCAAGATGTGCATTGACTATAGGGGCCTAAACAAGATCACTAAACAAGACAGCCTTCAAGACCCGGTATGGCACCTATGAGTTCCTGGTCATGCCTTTTGGTTTGTGTAATGCACCACGGACATTCCAAACTGAAATGAATAGGATTTTCAGACCCTTCCTTGACCGCTTTGTTGTTGTGTACCTGGATGACATTCTGGTTTTCAGCAAAGATGYCAAGGAACATGYAGACCACCTCAGGAAAGYTCTGCAGGTCCTGAGAGAACATAAGTATAAACTGAACAAAGAGAAATCATCATTTGGTGTTTCCTCTGTTTTATACTTAGGTCATGTGATTTCTGCAGATGGTTTATCCCCTGATCCCTCTAAAGTGGCTGCTGTCAGGGAATGGCCACAACCACAAACTGTGAGGGACATCAGATCTTTCATGGGGTTAGCCTCTTACTACAGGAAGTTTATCAGACATTTTTCCTCTATTGCTACACCCCTGACAAATCTGCTAGCTAAGGATGTTCCCTTCAGGTGGACAACTACTTGTCAGTTAGCTTTCTCCAGATTGAAGAAAGCACTCACCCAAGCACCTGTGCTGAAATTGCCTGACCCTACCTTGCCATTTGTGCTGACCACAGATGCAAGTCAATATGGCGTTGGTGCAGTGCTTCAGCAAGATGATGGGACTGGTCTGAAGCCGGTGGAGTTCATGAGTAAGAAAATAAAGGTGCAGAGAATTCAGGCATCTACTTATGAAAAAGAACTGTATGCTCTCGTCTGTGCCCTTAAACAGTGGAAACATTTCTTGCTTGGGAGACACTTCAAGATCTATTCTGATCACTCCACTCTACAGTGGATGAAGACCCAAGGTGAGTTAAATGATAAACTGGGAAGGTACATTCAGTTCATTGACGAATTTGACTTTGAACTGAAGCACAAGAAGGGATGCTATAACAGGGTTGCTGATGCGTTGTCACATAGACCTGATTCATTTGCTGCCATTGTTGACACTTACTCCTTTGCTGATTCCACCTGACAGGCCATCGCTGATGCGTTGCCTCAGGACCCGGTCTTTGGCCCTATTCTTAGGAATCTACAGGCTGACCCCAATTCTGAGTCAGGCTATGCCTTGACTTCTAAATTGCTGTACACAATCAGCGTGGGGGAAGAACGTCTGTGCATCCCTAATGATCGCAAGATCATTGCTAATCTGATCTCAGAGAGTCATGATGCTCGCGGACACTTTGGGTTCTTAAAGACGTATGCTGCCCTGACCCAACGCTTCTATTGGTCTAAGATGAAGGACGATATCCTGCATTACTTGGAGACCTGCGAGTTGTGCCAAAGGAATAAGGTCCACAGGCGGCCTCCTATGGGACTACTCAAACCTCTACCTATCCCTGATGGTCCAGGTGAGTCAGTGTCCATTGACTTCACAAACCTGGGCAAGACTACGCCACGTAGGATGAGACAGGTAATGGTTTGTGTTGATCGATTCTCTAAGTATGCTGAGTTTATCCCCTTACCTGCTGAGGCCAGAGTACCTCTGGTCAGAGAGCTCTTTTGTGAGAGGTGGGTAAATGTCCATGGGTGCCCAACCTCCATTGTCAGCGACAGAGATCCCAGATTTTGCAGCGATGATTGGCAGTCCTTCTGTAACGACTACCTACATTCTAGACTAGACATGACCTCTCGGAGACATCCGGAAGCCAATGGACTGGCTGAAGTGATGAACCAGGTCTTGTTTCAGTTGCTGCGCCCTGTGATCACGCCTGATCAGCAGGACTGGGACAGACATCTGTCACGGGCGCAACTAATGTATAATACATCTGTTCACAGCACTACAGGCTTTACACCCTACAGGCTACACTTTGCAACAGACCCCATGCAACCTCTGGATGATCTGATCGACAAGTCTAAGCCTAAACTAACTCCTGGCACGGCCGAGTTCACCAAGAGTTATGAGAAAGACCTAGAGAAAG